TGGCCATGTTGCACGATGTACCCGTGCTGTTTTCCTCTTCTTGCCTGGCCTGGCCTGGTATTCCCCCCCCCTTCCCGCTCGGCCTGCCACGTTCTTCCAACGGCCCTACCTTCCTTATGTTATGCCGTTTCTCTTCCGCATCGCTTGCCCCTGCTCTCCTCCCCCGCTGCTATCCATCGCTTTGCTCCTGCCCTTCCGCCTCCCTGTTGCGGTTCTCCGCTTGCTCTCGACCCTCTCACTGATTGCCCTCTCTCCCCTTCGCGGGTTTGTCGCTCGCCGGTCTCCTGTGCGCCCTAATCGCCCACTGCATAGAACAACCTACCGACACATTGCTTCTACTCAGACGCTGTCAACCGCGCATCCCTTCGTAGCCTTAATCATGCACATTACCCTGGTCTTAACATTTTTTCTTCTATCCATATATCACCCTGTAGGGATTCATGACTTCGTAGTTACTATCTAATCCTCATCACCAAGAACGTAAATAGACATCATTTGCTCCCTTTGTGTTTTATTAATCTACCTCGTCCCCCCTCCGCCCCCTGCTTTCGCGCTCGTTGCTATTTGTGCTTCTCGCCGGCCCGCCCGGCGCCCCGCCCTCGGCTCGGCTCTAATTTTTCTTTGCTGTCGCTCTCTGCCCCTAGCTGTCGCTTCTTGTCTCTTTGCCCTTCTTTTGGCGCTCTGTCTCTGTCTTCCCCATTCCCCGACCTCCTCTCTCTCTCTGTCGGCCGCTCACAGTCCCATTCTGCTTGTCTGCCTATATACGCTTACTGTATAAACTCTCCGAGTTATGACCCCGAGCTATTTCCGTAACATGCCTTCCACCACTAACCCTAGGTAGTATAGAACCGCGTGCCACTTTTTCACGCCCCCAAGCTGGCCCCCAGAGATAGAATAGCTCTGCCGGTCATCCGCCACGCCTAACCACGCTACCCAACCCGCCGTGTTTGCCCCCCCTATGCCTCCCCGACCCGGCCCCGGCGTCTGGCCGGACACAGACAGATATACAGGAAAAAGATTCCGTGTCCCGCCGCTCTCACCATGGCCACATGCCGGCCAGTTCTCAGTTGCGGTCCACGCAGAAAGAGACCCCTCCCTACGGCTGCCCCCTTGGTGCGCTGCGTCGCCGTGCCCCGGCCTTGCCCTCGACCGCTCCACGAATGGCGCCTGTAACTCCGCCCCGGTCCGCTGAGTCCCGCCGCTTGCGCCGTCCTGCCTGCTGCTGCACCCTGGGCCGCTCGGCCTTTCACACGCTCCGGGCCTTTATTTGCGTTTCAGCGGCTCGGGGTTGTCTTCCCCCGCCTCCAGATGCGTCACCTTGCGGACCGGCTCGCGCCCGTCGCGTCATCTTCGCTTTCCCCGTTCCCCGGTCCGTCCCTCCCCCGCCCCTCCGCCGCGCCCCGCGCGCCCCGGGCCCCCTGCCGTTGGTATTTTAGGTGCACCTCTGTCGCCTCCCTTCTGGGATCGTCGTGCGCCCGTCGTCCCGACCTCCTCCTCCGATGCCTGCCCTCTCGCCTCTGTCGCGTTCGGGGATACCTAGGCTCGTTGCCCCCTCTCCTTTCCCTTTTTCGTCTTTCTGTTGTTCCCCCTGCTCGCTTTTCCTCGTGACTTTCGGTACTTGGGTTTTGTTCGTCTTGGCTTCCCCGGTCCCTTTGCCCGGTTGTGGCTAGCGTCGTTGCGGCGTTGTCTTTTTCCTGCCTTGTTCCCCCCTCCCCCGTCCCTCCGCTCGTTTGCGCTGGTCGTTCGGCCCCCGCGCCGCTCGCTGCCGCCGCTCCTCCCCGGCTGACGTGCTGCCCCTGTTCCGCCGTCCCCCGACCCTCCCCTGGCTTGGCCCCTCCGTGCCGCTCTTGTTCTTGCCCCATCCCTTCTTTTTTTCTCCTTTCCTTCCTTTCCTGTTCTGTTTCCTCCCTGCTCGCTGCATCCGTGCATTTTGCTCCCCTCCTGCCCCACCACAGCCCATCCCGCGGCTGGCGGTTCCGTCCCGCCCCTGTTCTTCCTCGCCACGCTGCGTGCCGCCCCTGTTCTCCTCCCCCGCTGCGTGCGTCCCTGTGCTCCCGTTTCCCGCTTCGCACCTGGGCGTTCCGTCCCGTGCCTGTTCTCGTCCGCCCCGCTGCGTGCCGCACCTGTTTTGCCGTCCCCGCCCCTTTTTCCTCTCTCCCTTTCCTTTTCTGTCCTTCCGTCCCTCTTTCCTGTTCCTTCCGCCCTCTCCCTCCTGGGCCCCTTGTGTTTCTCCTTCCCTCCCCTCCCTTCCTTTCCCTCTGCCTCTCCGCTTTTCGGCTTTCCGGTTCTTCTTGTTGCTTTCTTCTTCACCTCTGGTTTGTTGGCCCGCCTTTCCCGCTCCGGCCCGCGCCGGTCCTTTTTCCTTCTCTTTGCTCTCATTGTGGCGGCTGGTGCCTGTGCTGCTTACTTTGTTCTGCCTGACCCTGCCTGCCCCCTCCTTGGGCCGCTTCTCCCTTTTCCCCCCTCGGACCTCGGTTCGGTTTCCTTCGGCGTTGGGTTTCCTTCCCTCCTTTGGGCTTTTCTCCCCTCCCCTCCTTCAGACACCTTGTCGGTTCCCCGCGGCCGGTTTTCGGGCGTCGGCTTCCCCCGGGCCGCCTTCCCCTCCTTACACCTATCACGTCGCCCGCTCCTTAGGATTCGCCTGCCCCCGATTTTTCCCTCCTTTCGCCATTCCCTCCGCTGGGTTCCATGGCGTCCTCTTCTCCCCTACACCCTTGGGCCGCGGTCTCACTTCTCGCCCCCTGGGGTTGGGGCCTCCGCCTCACCTTAATTTCTCCGCCCGCTTTCTCGGCTCGCCTCTCTCCCCGCCTTTTTTTCTCCCCTTTTTCCCCCCCCCCTCCTCCTCCTTCCCCGCTGTTTTCGGCTTCCTCCGGGGTGGGCTTTTCGCCGCCCCCCGCCCTCGCGCCTTCACTGGGGCCCTGCCCCCCGCCTCCCCGGTTCTTTTTCCCTCATCCCCTGGTTGCCTCTTCGGCCTTGCCTCTCCCCACCAGCCTCCTTTTCTCCTCCCCGGTTCGCCCCGCCGTTGGCCCCCTTGTTCCTCGTCCCTCACTGTGTTTCCGTGCTTTCCTTTTTCTTCTCGGCTTTTTCGCCTTCCTCCCCGCTTTCGTTCTCTCCTCCCCTCGCTCTCCCCCCCCTCCCCTGGTCCTGGTGTTCCGTTTGCCAGGTGGCGTCTCGCCTCCCCCTGCGTTTTCGGTGCCTCTCCTCCGCGCCTTCCCCTTTCCTCCCCCCCGCCCAGCCCGTCACCATTCCGGTGCGGTCCCACGGCTCGGCCCCCCCCGCCTGCCTGTTTGCGCCCCCCGCGCTTGTTCCGCCCCTCCGCGCTCACCGCCCCTGCCTCTCGTCCCCCCTCGTTCTTCCTTCCCGGCCCTCCCACCGTTCTCTTTTGCTGTTGCGCTGGCCGCCTTCCGGTCTGCCGCGCGTTGCTCCGTCCCTCTCACCCCCCCGAGCTGTTTGGTTGTCCCGCTTCGCCCCCTTCCTCGGGCCCGATTTACGCCTTTCCTCCCCCTTTGGCCTCCCGTGTGTGGCGCCTCCGGTTGGCCGGCGTGTCCTTTCCCCCCTCCCGTTCCCCTGTTTGTTCTCCCCTGTCCCTCTTTGTGCCCTTCCTGCATCCTGTCCACCTTTCCTTTTCGCGCCTGCCCTCCTCGCGCTCCGCGCTGGTTTTTTTCCCCCGGTTATGGCCCTTTGCCCTTAGTCTTGCGCCGGCTTCCCATTCGTTTTGCCTCCTCTCCTGCCTCCCTTCCTCGTGCCCCTCCTTCCCCCCGCCACGGGCGTTCTCCGGGGGTTGCGCATTCCCTTTGTCTTTCTTTCTCGCCTTCTCTGCCCTCCGTGCGCGCTTCCCCCCTTTGTCCCCCCCTCCCCGCTGCGATCCTGCCTTGGGGCCCTCGTGTTCCCGGGCCCCCCGTCGGCTCCCCCTCTCCTCCTGCCCCCCTACCCCCCTCTTCTCTCGCCCTTCTTTCCTTCCCGGCCCCCGTTCCGGCTCTTGCGCGCCCCTCGTCGCTCGGTCCGCTACCCCCCCGGCCCGGTCGCCCACTCTGGCCCGCAACTGTTTCCCTCCCACCTCCGTTCTTGCCCTCTTCTCCTCCCGCCTTTTTGGGTACCCGTCCTCGCCCTTGCGCTCTTCTTTCCCTCTCTCTTCGTTGCCCCTTCGCCCTGGCCTCCTTCCTCCTCTTGCATTTCCTTTCCTCTGCTCCCTGCCGGCCCTCCTTTCCCTCCGGCCTTTCTTGTCCCCCTTGCTTCCTTCCCGGGCCCGTTCCTTCTCGCGCGCTTGGCCACGCCGCCCTGTCCACGCCTCGTACGCCCCTCCCCCTCCCGCAGTTTCTTCCCGTCCGTTCCGTCGTTCTTCCGTTCCCTCGGCTTGCCGCTCTGCTTCCCGCTTCTCGTCGCCCTGGCCCCGCTGCTCTCGGGGCTGCGCCCCGGGTTTTCTCCACGCCCCCCTCCCCCTCTTGCTACCGCTTGTCGCCGCTGCTCTCGCCCCTCGCCTCGGCCCCCCTCCCCCTCCTCCCGCTTCCCGCCGTCCCCCGTCGTTGCCGCCCGCCCCATTCTCTCGCCCTGTGTCCGCCCCTCGGCTTTCTGTGGGCCCCCCTGCCCTCTTGCCCTGCTGTGCTCCCGCCCCTTGCCGCGCGCCCCGCCGCTTTGCGCCCCTGCGCTTTGCCACCGTCCCGGCCCCGGCCCCGGTCCCCCTTCCTCTACCCCGTCTCGTTTTGTCCCCCCCGCTCCCCTTCCTATTCCCCCTTCGCCTCCACCCTCGCGGCGCCCCGCCCCCGTTCTCTCTCTGTCTGCTCCTCACGGGTCTCTCCGCTGCCCCGGTCCAACTGCGGCTGCCGTTTTTGCGCGCCTTCCCCCCCTTCCCTCCGCCTCTCCGCGGTGGTCCGCTGGTCTCGCTGCGGCGCTTCCGCCGCCTTGGCTCCCCTCCCCCCCTGCTTTTCTTCCGCCCTTTTCCGCGCCGCTGCGCGTGCCGCGTTCGGTTTGGCGGCTTGGCGCGTTTGCGCACCCGGGCCCGCTGCCCGCTTTTCTGCTTCCTCTCGGCGCTGGCGCCCCCGCTTCTCCCGGGTTCGCCCCGGCCGCCGGCTCCGCGTTGCTCCCGCCTCTTCGTCGGCGCTTGTTGCCCTTTTTCCGCCCGGCTGTTCCCCCCCCCTCTCCTGCTTTTGCTCTAGTTCCCCGCGCTGGTTTTGCCCTCGCGGCGCTGTATCCGGCGGCCCAGCCGCGGCCCCGCGGTTTGGCCTTCTCGGCCCTCCTATGGTGCTCGCCCATGGTCGCCGTGCGCCCTCCGCCTCGTTCGCCCGCCGTCCTACCGGGGGGCCGTTCCTGCCCGCGCCTGCCGCGCGTTCCCCGCCTTGGGCCGGGCCTTGCGCCCGTGTTGCGTCCCTGTCTCCGCCTGGCGTCTTTCGCCGCTGCCCGTCGCTCGCCTCCGCCTGTGCCTGGGCGGTCTCTGCCCGCCCCTGTGCTCCCTCCGTGCCCGGGGCCTCGCCTGCCGCCTGTTCCCTCGGGCCCGCTTCCCGGCTTGCCTTGCCCCGTGGGCCCCTTCCTCCCCTGTCTGCGCGGCCCCCGCCCCCGCCTCCAGCCCCCGCTTCCCACACTCTCTCCCCTTCTCGCCCCGTCCGTCTCCGTCGGCTGGCTCCCTCCTGCGCTCGGTCCGTTGGCTTGCCCGCCGCCTTGCTTGGGCCGCGGCTCCTGGGCCGCGCGGCTGTGCGCCCTGGTTGCCTCTTTGGGCTGCCTGGTCGTCGCGCCGCACGCTGCCGCCCCGCCGCCCTTGCCGCTCGCCTTGCGCCCCGCTTCTCGGTGCCCGTCGGCGCTGTGCCGGCGGCTGCCGCCGCGCCGCTCCCGCGCTCGCCCTTCGCCCGCGTCTCGCTGCTCCGGCCGCCCCGTGGTCCCCCGTCGTGCCGCCGCCGTGCCTGCCGTCGGTGTTCCGCGCTTTCCCTGCGTGGGCGCGTCTCCCCCCGCTCGCCCTGTGCCGGCTTCCGGGGCCGCGCTTGCCCGCTAGCCGGCCTGCCCCGCCCCCGCCCCCCGGCCGCGCCGCGCCCCCCGCCCCGACGCTCGCCGCGGCCGTCGCGCCGCTGCCCCGCCGCCGGTGCCTCGGCGCGCGCCGCCCGCCCCCGGGCCCCCCCTGGCTTGCCCGCTCCTTCCGTCTTGCGCCCGTTGCCCCGGACGCCCGCTGCTCTTTCTTTGTGGCTCTGCCTTGGCCCCCGTCGCCGGCCTGGCTTCGCCGTGCCTTTCTCTGGTTTTCCCGTGCCCGTGGTTGCCGTGCCCGTTCCTGCCCCCGCGTGCTGTGCCCTCGCCTGCGTCCTTTTTCCCCGGCCCCTGCTGCGCCCTGCCGTGGCCGTCCGGCCCCGGTTCGGCCGGGCCGCCCGCCGGTTTGCCCCTCTCTCCTCGGCCTGTGGCCCCCCGCTCACGCGGTGGCCTGGGCTCCATTTTGCCCGCCGCCCGCCCGCCCCCTGTGCGCCACCGTCCCCGTTCGCGCCTCCCGGCTGCACCCCGCTTTTTTTGTCCCTCAGCGGCTTCCGAGCGCCTTCCCGCGCCGCGGGCCCTTCTCCCGGGCTGGCCTTTTCCCGCCGCCACGCTTTTGCCGCGCCTTGCTCCCCTCTCTGGCGCCTTCTTTTGCCCCCCTCGTTGCCGGCCCCGCCTTTCTGGTGGGTCTGCCGCGGTCCCCCCTGCCTTTGCGTGGTTGCCGCCCGCTCTCTGAGTTTGCCGCCTTCTTGGGGCTTGGGGCTGCCGTGGCCCCGATGCGTGGCCCGCCGCCGCCGGCCCCGGCCGCTCTCCCGTCGGTCTCGTTTGCTGCCGCCTGCGCGCGGCCGCCCGCGGCCCGGTGCTCGCCCCCGACCCCCGGCTGGCGCTTGCCGCGCCCCCGCCGCCGCCGCCCGCTGCCGCTGCCGTGCTTCCGGCCCTCCCGGCTCCTTGTCCCTGCCTGTCCTTGCGCCCGACCCTTCCTCCTGTCTTTTGGCTTTTCCCCTGTTTGTGCTGCCCCCTGTGGCTGGTTTTACTCTTTTCCTTTCCCTCCATGGCCCTCCCGTTTGCTTGTTTGTTTTCTTGTTTTCCCTGATTGTCACTGTCCTCGGCCTTGCTTCTCCCAGCGCGCGGCTCTTTGCCCTCCCGTGCCATTGACTCTTGCCTTTCCTTTCCGCCCCCCGCCGCCTCCTCCCTCCTCGCCCTCGGCTCCCCCTTTCCACCTGCCCTCCGCCCGGCTCTTCCGCCTGCCTTCGCCGCCATTCCGCGTCTTTGCCTGGAGCTCCCGCCCTGCCCGGCCTCGCCGCTCCCTCGCCTCGCCCGTTCCTTCCTCCTGCTCCGCGTGTTCCCCCGGTGCCGCCGCCCCGGCGCCGGTCCGGCCCGCCTGGAAACGGCCCGCTCCCCGCCGCCGTCCCGCAGCCGTTGGCTCCGGCTTTCTTGGCGTCGTCCCCCTCTCCCGGCCTGGTTGGCCCTTCGTCCCTGTGCTGCCGCCCGCTGGGCCGCCTCCGGGTTTTGTGTTGCCTCCCGGGCCCTCCCCCCCCGCCTCGCCTCCCGCTGCCTTGCCCCTTCCGCCCTCGCTGTTTGCTCACCGTGCTGCCGCCTGGGCCTGTTCCTCCTCTCTGGCCCGGGTTCTCCGGCATCCCCCCCCTCCTGCTGGCTTCGTGCCCCGCCCCCAGCCTGCCTTCCCCCCGCCTTTGGCCTTTTGCTCTCGCGTCCTGCCCTTTGGCCTGCCGCCCGCGGTTCGGCCCCCTCTCCGCGCCTGGCTCCCCCTTGTTTCACTGCTCTGCCCTCCCTCACGGCCTCGCCGCCTGTCGCTGCCCTGGTCCCTGCCCCGACCCCCGGCCCGCCCCGCCGCCTGTTGGCCCCTTTCTTTGCCCCGGGTCCCGCGGTCTCCCTTGCGCCCCCTCCCCGCCGTGCTCTTTCGGCGTCCGCCCGGGCCTTCTTAGGTTTCCTTGTCGGCCCTCCCCGGGCTTGCGGTCGCCCCCGCCCCCTCCCGACACACTTCCGGCTCTGGCCCTGCCCCCCCAGCCCGTCCCGTGCGCCGCTTTTTGGGCCCCATTCCGTTCCCTCCGCCGGTTTCTTTTCGCGGTTCTCCTTCCTTGTCTCCCATTTTCCGCTCCTACCGCCCCCTCCGCCAGTTCCGTGGCCTGCGGCTGCCCGCCCGCCTTTGCCCCCTCCCGCCCTCCCTGCTGCCTCCCCCGTGCTTCCCGTTTCGCTCGCCCGGCGCCCCTCTGCTCTTCTCTCTCTCTCTCGCCGCTGCCGGCGTCCGGCGCCCTTGTTTGGTCCCAGCCGGCCGCCGCCGGCTCGCCCCGGCGCTTTCCTCCGCTTCGCCCGCCGCTCTGCCTTCTCCCCGCGACCGTCCCCCTGGTGGCGCCCCCCTGTCTGGCCGTCGTCCGGGTCGCTCCCGCCGTTGCGGCTTCCTTTGCTTCGTTCCGGGTCACTTTCATTTCCCCCCTTGCTCCTCTGCAGTCTTGCCGCGCCACGCCTCCTCTCGCCGGCCGGTTGTCTCCGTGTTCCTTCCGCTGTCTCGTGTGGCTGCCGCGGTTTGTCCGCCGCCCCTGGTCTCCGGCCGGGCCCGTGGCCGCGTCCTCGCTGCCCCCCCCCCTTCCCGCTGCCCCCTGGGCCTTGGCGTTTCCCGCCGCCCACTTGCTTGTGTCTCGCCCCCGGGGTCTCGCCCTTGTCTTTGCGGTTCCGCTCCCCCCTGGCGCCGGCGCTGGTCTTGTCCTTGCCCCCCTCCTGGTGCGGTCCCTCCCCCTGTGCCCACCGACTTTGTTGCTCCCGGTCACTCCCCCCCTGGCTGCGTCTGCCGCGTGCCTCCCTGGGCGGCCGCCCCCTTGCCCTCTGGCGCTCCGCCGGTCGCGGTCCTCGGCGCTTCCTTCTTGTTTATCCCCCCTGCTCGCGCGCGCTGGCCCGTCGCCGACGCACGCCTTGCCGCTTCCTTTTTGCGTCCTTGTGCGCCCGCCCCCTTCTTTGCCCGCTCCCTTTTCCCCTCCCCTCGGCCCCCCTCTCCCCGCCTTCCGCTGCCTGGCCCACTTCGCCTCGCTTGGCCGGCTTTGCGTCCCGTCGCGCCGACGCCCTTTCTACTTCCCCCGCCGGTCCCTCTCCGTGCTGTCCCGCCCTTTTGTGCCCTCGGTGCGTCGGCGGCCGCTGGTTTCCGCCTCTTCTGCGGTACTCTTAGCCTCGCTGGTACTTTTTCTGCTGCTGCCTGCCCGCCGCCCGTGCGCTTCCTCCCCCCCCTGGCTCTGCGTTCTGTTCTGGCCGCCGGTGGCCCTCTCTCGCCGCGCTTGCGCTGGGCTGCTCGCCCGCTGCGTGTGCGTCACCCGCCGTGCGCCGCCATCCTGGCCCGTTCCTGCCGGGGTATTTGTGGTCCTCCTTTCCGCGGCCTGCGCCTCGCCGGCCCCTCCTCCGGCCCGGTTCTTTCTGGCTGCCCCTCGCCGGTGCCTGTGTTCCGTCTGGTGCGTCCTTGCCCCGCTTTGCCCCTCCCCTGGCTCCTCCCGCCCTTCCCTTGCCGTTGCCGCTCCCTCCGCCCGCTCTTCGTTGGCCCTTTTCTTTGCCTGGGGCCTCGCCTCCCTTGGCCCCATCTCGCCCTTCGCCTCGCCCGCCCCCTCCGTCTCTCCTTGGTTGCCGTTGCCTCCTTCTCTCGATTGGCCTTGCGGCTCACTCCCCCCCCTTCCCCCCCCCGCCTGGTGGCTCGTTCGCTCCCCGCCCTTTTCTGTCGCCTGGGTGTTCCCCCCCCTTCGTTCCAGCTCCTGGCCCTCCTTTTCCGCCGCTGTTGGTCCGTTGCTTTCTCGCTCTCCGGTTTGCCCCCCCTTCTTCCTCCTTCTCGCCTTTCTGGCTCCTGGTGCCGTCGACGCTGCGCCTCAGGCGCTCCCCCGCCCATCCTATCGCAGATGTGTGCCCGGTCCCGCCGCTGGGCCGCGCCCCCTTTCTTTCGCGCTCTGGGGCTCGCCCTCCCCTTCCCCTCCGTTAGCCTGGCGCCTCTCCCTTTGCCCTGTCTCTGGCCTGGCGGCCGTGTTCCCCGCTCCCGCTCCGCCCGCCGTCTCTCCGGGTTTTGGTTGCCCGCTAGTCTGCCTGCGGCCGCCTGGGTCCACGCCGCTCCGCCGCCCTTTCCCTTGGCTGGCCGCCGCTGCCTGCTCGATTCCGGCTCCGCTCCGCCCCCGCCGGCTTGCTCGTTCTCCCCCCCCGGGTCCCTTCCCGGCTTTCCCGACCGGCGCTTTGGTCTTGCTTCCGCTTCTTCGCTCCTGCCGCCCCGCCTCCTCCTGGTGGGCCATTTCCACCCCTGGCCGGCCCCTTCCCCGTTCCGCCGCTCTTCGCCCCCGGCGCCGCTGCCTTCTCCCCTGGCCGGGCAGCCTCCTCCCCGGCCTTGTCCCTTCCGGCCCCGCCTGCCCGCTTTTCTCCTGCCCTGCTGCTTCGCTGCACCCCCCCCCGGCGTAGACGCTCGTTGCCCCAAATACCAGCCGGGACGGAATCTTTCCTCTCTCACTCCGTTGTTTTGTTTGCGCGCGCTCTTCTCTCACCCCCCACCCCGGAGGCGGCGGACCCGCGAGAGCTCTCTCTCTCCCCCCCCCCCCGGCGGCGGGCGGACCCGCCCGCCTTTCGGTGTTTCCCCTCGCTTCCTCCTTTTTTTTTTCCTCGCCAATCCTCCCTTTCCGGCCTCCCCTCTTTTCCTCTGTCCCTGCTTGACCTTCGGTTGCTCGGCTTCCCCTTCCCTGGTTGCCTACTTCCAGCGGCGCCCTTTTGCTCATCGCTTCTGCCCTTTGCCTGGTCCATGCCCGTTGGGTTTCACTTTCCCCCCGGCTGCTTCTGGGCTTCATGATTCTCCTCCTCTGATCACTCCCCATCTCCGTTCTTTCCCGCCTTTCGATGTCCCGTTTGTTGTCGAACGCCGCACTCCTTCTTTTTCTGCTCTGCTCCTGGAATCTGGCGCATTCCCTCTTCTTCCCTCCCACGCAGTGTTCCCTCTTCGTATCTTTTCTTGACCCATTCTTCCTCCGTCAGCCTCGCTTCACCCCACCCCCTGAGAGACTTCTTTTCGCGCTTTAATCGGTAGACACTGCCTCCCATTCATATACAAGTTCAAAGGGAGAGGCTCCATTCAACTGATTTGAAGGTAGTGGCGATGCCCCCAGAGCGCGAAGAAAGTTTCTCCCAAGCTTCTGTACCTTTTTCACAACATTTCGATAGGATTCTTTTGATCTCCTTATTCGCAGGCTTCTACGCACCATTAGCCAGAAGGCGATAAGGAGAGAAATGGTGATGGTCAACTTATATCTAAAAGCAACTGACCAACATTGCTTGAAAATGAAGTTGCCATTATCTGTAACTATGTGATGGGGCACCATAGCGACAGAAAATGTTCTGTTTAGCGAATCTAGCCACATGCTTGGTGGTTTAGGTTTTGTAAGATTGGAGCCTCAATCCGATCTAGAGAAGTAGTCAACTGCAACCAATTATACTGATGGTCCGTTCCGATGGCTAATGGCGAGATTTTGCCAAATGAACGTCTATGGCCCCATGCAAGAAAGGCCAAGAAGGACTGTCGGATGGAGTTTCAAGGCAGGTAAGTGGCTTTTATTATCATGGTATTGGCAAGCTTTGCATGCGCACAATACTGAACAAGTCACCTTCTTTATTTGCATCCCAGAAATAACCTGCCGTATATGATTTTCCCTTGCTAGGCTCATGCGCTTAAATGAGTACCACAAACCCCTTCCAATGAACTTTCCTCATTATGTCTTCTCCTTCTTTTTTTAACTCACGCATCTTTGAGCATCCCATCTCAGCTCTCTATAGAGTTCACCGTCGGGCCAGAACATAACTCATAGCCATTTTTTGGATCGCACGGTCTTCCTTTCATCGCATCATCAAGAAAAAGTACCACTTTCATATACCTCAAGAATATTCGCTAAACCAGGGTTCTTCCTCCGAACTCCACCTAGTTCAACAAATTTCTTGACAGCACGGGATATTGGCTGTGGTAATGAAAATGGCTTCTTCGAACTTTACCAAATCCTGCAAGCCGATGCTAAGTTGCCAAGGCATCTGGAATTCTGTTATAGGTTCTTCCTATGTGAGTGAAAGTGATCTTGTCAAATAGTGTTGCTTTCTCAAACAAGTACTCAACATAAAGGGCTCAATCTTTTCTTCTTCTAACTTTCCATCTCTCGCAGCATGTTTGATAACCAATAATGAATCTCCTATTACCTGCGACCTTCTTACGCCAGATGCAAGGAGGCTTCCATTCCCCATGATGCCGTTCATACTCAAGCCATGTTGTTAGTGACCGGGAGCAACAATCTTTGCACATTGTGGTGACCTCACCATTAGGTGCCTTCAATTACAATACCAAGCTCGCTCCATTTCTGTTAGCTGACCCATCAAAGTACAATTTCTAGACCCCTGTTTCCGATACACAGGCAAGTGGTCGTCTGAAACTCCCCAAATTCCCATGGTTCGTCTCTGTAATGGGTTTTCAGCCTAGGAACTCCTGCACGGCCCTGCCTTAGACATTTTCTTCGTACAAACTCTGCATCCAACTAGACCCAATCTGAATTTAAACCACTTAGACCAAACGTCCTTCTAGAGTAGGCGTCTCTGCAAGTACTTCAGAGGATCAATTTTGGAAATAAAGTTGACCCTGAACGAAATCAAAGTAAGGCCTCAACTTCTTATCGACCCGACTACTGCATACATGTTTTTCCACCAATGTTGTAACTTCTCTTGATAGATAGCTCTTCTAATGTAGTAAATCGCCTTTTCTATCCGGCGGCGTCCGGCTGTTACCAACATTTGCTCGACTCCTGCATCTTCTATAGATAGATATAAGATCGAGTTCTCCTGGTCCTAGGCGAACTGAGCACCGGTGGGATGTTCATCCAGCGTAATTTCTTTATGTGGTCAAAGGCTTTCTGGCAGTCCTCATTCACTTAACTGGCTGATTCTTCTTTAGTAGCTTGAAAATTGGAGCACAAGTAATGGATAACCTCGAAAATAAGCCCTGCTGATGTACTGAATTTGCCCAAAAAAGCTTCTCACTTGACGTTCTGTTTTAGGCAGTTCCATATCCTGAATGGCTTTTATTTGTCGGGGTCGACCCATCAATCCCGTTAAGGTCTACAATGAAACCTAATAATTTCCCTTTCGTTACTCCGAATATGCACTCTTGGGATTGAGTCTCAAAGTTATACGTTTCTTGACCCGTGCAAAGAACTTTTCCAACATCTCTGCGTGTTCTTCTGTGTTCTTGTCATGATCACCATGTCATCTACATTACTTCTAGTCCTTTATGGGAATCATAATCATGAACACAATGTTAGCCATTCTCTAATATGTTGCCCCGCGTTCTTTCCGAGTCCAAAATGGCATTACCTCTTAATAGCAAGGTTCCAAAAATTGTGGTGAAGGCAGTCTTCGTGCTTGTCCACTAAGGCCATCAGTATTTGGTTTATCGGAGAACCCGTCCATGATAGAGTAACATCCCATTCCGGCAGCCACTGTTGATCAAAACATCTATGTGCGGAAGTGGAAAGTCATCTTTAGGCGAGCTTTGTTTAGGTCTGTAGTCAACACAACCCCTTATTCTCCCATTTCTTTTTCCCCTTCCCCCAGCACAGGGACTATATTGGGCCAACCATTCCGGAATTAGTGTACTACTTCCAAGAATCCTGCATACCAAAACTGCGTCTGGACTTCTGCTTTGATCTTATCCTGCATTTCTGGCCTGACCTTCTCCTTTTCTCTTCACCTCCGTTTAAAACTCGGATCAGTAGGAATGAAGTGCTATGCTATTGATCTGTCGATTCCCTGGCATGTCTGTGTAAGCTCCAAGGCATAAATCTCTGAATTTTTCTATGCATTCTTGAAGATCCTGGTCTGAGTTCAGGTTTAAAGTTTGATCCGATTTCGATATTTAGGATCTCAGTGGGCTTAAAATTAAATGCAAAATGAAATGCAATGCATTTATCGTCAAATATTCCGCGTGGTATAATTCAATGCCATGAACATGAACAATCAGGAAAACAATAAACAAACAATCAAACTTTAGTTCGCATTGATTGCAAATAAAAAGAGGAAAAACATCCACATTGTTCTCAGCAAACAAACATTGGAAAAGCAAAATACAGGATTTAATTGTCTGCTCAATAACTTATTACAAGATCCTTGATTGCCTGAATACTTCATCTGCATCTGCGTCTTCTGCTTTGGCCCTTCAAGCTTCATCTTTCAGCACCTTCCTCTCTGCGTCCTCCGCATCTTCAGCACTAATACCGACTGGAGGAATCCGTGCCTTGGCGCTCTGCTCTCCACCATCTTGGCCAACTGCAACCCAATCCCCAGAAGTCTTCAAACTCAGATATCTTCTCAACCCTCAAATTCAGTGTTTACCTGCGTCATACCCACCATAAATTCGTGTCTTCAACTAGTTGTTCAGAAAGAAGGCTCAGGGATTGATCAATTTCTCTTCAAAATTCTGTCGTGAAAATTTTTTCCCAGCCCGGGATAAATTTCCCTCTGCTCCTTTGAATTCTCCTGAAGCTCAGGGACAAAGAAAATCTGGTTCAGGCCTGATTTCTAACTGGTGACTGGAATTAACAGTTTTCTTTCTTTTCTGCTTTCAAATTCCCAGTCACCTTATCTTGTTTGTTCCCAATGCGATGAGAAAGTTCAAACCTCTTGCAGCTCCCGGCCTAAACCTTTGCCCGTACTGCCCACTGCATTTTCTTCATCATTTTCCTTGAAAAAGGACTCATTCTATTCACAGCCTCTTCTTTCTCATTAACTGGCCAACGTCCAACACTGTCACTTGAAAACCAGAATAAAGGCACTTGCTATATCCAGGCCTTCTACTGTTGCCACATTCAGATCCGCACAAAGAAATATCAGCTTTCGTCCTTTGCACTGGCTCAATACTGAATTGCTGTCAAGCCCATTGTGGGTGACCTGTTTTGGCTGCTCTCTCCTAACTTCACCTCGTCTTCTTTTGCATCTTCGCTAACTTCTCTCTATCTTCTGTCTTTTTGGCTTCTTCTCTGCTTTTTCTGTTGTTTTTCTTTTTCAAATTCCTTCAGCTGCAATCTCCTTCCCCTTAGCCTGCACATTGCTAATCGGGATTGTATACTCGCCCACTCCAGTAGTCTGAACACCTACTTCATTCACGTCTTCTTCACTACTGTAGTACAACTGTTTCTCCTGATCAGCTAAGACTCTTTCCGAATTGCGAGCTGTATCCTGCTCGTCTTCAATCCTCCGGCACATCGCCTACTTTCACCGTAATGCTTTTTCTCAATTTCTATCTTCAAGGGCTTCTTTTCTTCATCTTCTTCGCTACACAGTCATCCCAATATTCAACATTGCGCACACCGCTCTTCCCATTCAGCCTCTGCCAAATAAACAACTTTTTCTGGCAATCCGCACTTCCTATCGCATTGATTGATCCCCAGCCGACTGGAGACTACGGGCGGATAATATGACTGATATTGGGAGCGGGTTGTTCTTAGTGCTGGGCTGTTCCTCCCCACCAAAAGACAGTTTAGTAATTTTCCACTGTCATCAAATCCTGGATACGTGCCTTAGTTTGAAACATTCGTCAGTCGAATTGCCCCTGCACTGATGGTAAATTCACAGTTTCGGTCCATATCCTCCCATGCACAGGCTTTAGTCGAATCGACTGGCAGCTTCGCAAAGTACTCCATTCTTGGATACATGACCTCAACATGTAACTCAATGGCCTTCCCAAGTCGGTGAATTCTCTTCTACTCTTTACATTAACTGCCCCCACTGGTATTACTGCTTCTAACTGATTCTGATTGCTACT